TGCCTGAGGACCTCTCTTCACAATGGGGTTTAAAGTTATTTATTTTTAAGCAGCTGGTTCCAACCTTGTACTCGCATCAAAATGTAAAATCACACATTGAGAATTAACATTTCACTTTGGACAAATTCACACACATCCAAAGGGTCAGGCTACAGACCCAGGCCTGACTCTGATTTCCCTGGCTATCAGTGTTGCTCAGCTAAGAGTGAAGTCAGTTAAAAGGGAGACAGAGGCACTTTGGTGGGAGAAGCTGGAATGTTTTTTCATTTAGATGATTTTGCCAAAATCTAAGGGTACACTGGAAAGTTGCAGATGGTTTCTGTCAAATAGTTATGCATTGACCAGTCACCTCAACTATTAGGCTTGTGATGTCACTGAGATGTCTTACTTGAGAAATCAAAGATGAAAACAGAAAGAAGCTAAATTTTGCAATCAATTTGACAGCAACTCTTAGGCGTGGGACAGGCTTCCTTTCAAAATTCCAGCTTCATCGTATATGTGTCTGGGCAAGTTACTGAACAAGGCAGAGAGCCTCAGTTTCCCCAAGTTGGAGAATGGTAATGATGATACCCATGTTAGAGATGGTACCTACCTTAGAGAGTTGAGGTGGGAACTCAAGATGAGGAACTTAGCAACTTCCACTGCAGTAATGGGAAATAAACAGTGATGTGGACAGTAATATGGGAGCCCATCGACCCACTGAAGGTATAGGAAAGAGAGAAAACAGACAACAAGATAAATGGCCCACAGGTAATGAAATACCACGGTGTTAAGGAAATGACAGCGCGTATGCAACCTGGGGTGATGCTGCTTCTACGTGAGTTCCTGCCAGGATCACATATTTTTTCATGTATTGACTAAAGTGAGGTTAAAATTCCCTGCACAATCACAGTCCCAGGAAACTGGATCATTTCACTGTCAGATGGAAGGGTAGCCTGTTCATCTGTTCTACACTTCCCCAGGCTCCACTTCCCAAAGGAAGACCTTTTCTTTTCTTTCCACTCTGCACAGAGCTGGACACACACCATCAGTCTATCTTTTGGCACCTGAGTGAAGCCTGAGAGGCAGGTGTATCTGCTTCATATCCAACCTGTTTTTATTGCCAATCTCAGTGACATAGTGGGTTCAACTGGCCATGATTTTAAAGGAGTCAGAGGCTGTCATTGTTCCAAGAATATGGTTTCACAACAGCTATAAAACAAGGACTCTGTTTAGCCCAGAGATGTTGAGTTGGGGTGAAGGTATCCAGCTGTGAAACGGGACGATAAACTTTTCAGCAAGTTGGCAAGCTTATTGTTATACCAGGCTTTTGTCTTCTTGGGGAGGTTATAAAAGACACCCTGGAGCTGCACTTGAGTTACATAGAAATGAGGGTCCCCATCTCTGATTCCCGCTTCAGGGTTGCATCTCTTAAGCTCTCCAACAGCTCAGGCAACTCCTAGCCTTGAAAAGTTTAAAAAGGCCATTTAATGAAATTCTTTTCTCTATCACATGTTGAAAGCAAAGACTGAAGGGCATTAACAAGAAGCTATGCTCCCCACATCCTGTGTGGCTCAATCCTGGTTTATCATAAACAGATACCATCGTCTTGACTGCATTAGGTACTTTTGCATTTCTGTGACAGAACATTGACAATTAAACTTAAGGTAGGAAAGATCTATTTTGGCTCATGGTTTCAGGGGACTTCAGTCCAAAGCATGGCAGAGAAGCTCATGGAAGATGGAGAGCATGTAGCAGTTATTTTTTTCTCATTTTAAAAGCAGTACTTTTTAAAAAATTTCCTAAACATACATAGAAGAAAGCAATGTAATTTTCCCAAGATCACGCAGCTCTCTGGAGACGAGCTAGAATTTTGGTCCATGTTGCCTGACGCTCCTGAGAGCCTTCAGTCTTTTCCCCCTCTGGAGAAATTTTTCTTATGAGCACATGGAATTATTCTTTTGTAAATATGGGGTGATATCTGCTTTTGACTTAGTAATATATCATGGACATTTCTCAAGTCATCAGTGGTTTAAAAAGAATAATATTTTCTCAGGACAAAGACAAAATGAGACGCACCTCTATCACCTTCTCCCAGAGCCTCAAATATGAATGTACATCCTTATCTATCCAAATCACCAGTGGGTCATCTTGAAATACATAGTGCTTCCACACACAGCTTCTGATTGGTAGACTGGGAGTAGGCCCAAGATTTTGTATTTTTAAAACAGTGCCTCAGGTGCTGATGACCCCAGTGATCTAGAGACAACACTTTGTGGGGTAAACGCCAGATCAGTGAATAGGACAAGTAAAAGGAAATGCATATACCTTTCAGTTCATGACAGAAGGAATATGTGCATACTATGTGTTTGCTGGGGTAACATAATAGAGAATGCATGTTCTTTTCAAGTGCTTATGAAACTATAACATATCTAAACTGTGAGTGAGTCAGAGTCTACATTATGTCACAGGGACAACCTCAGCATATTGTAAAATGTTAGAGAAGGGGCTAGAAAGATGGCCCAGTGGTTAAGAGCACCAGCTGCTTGTCCAGAGGACCCAGGTTCAGTTCCCAGCACCCACACGGTGGCTAACAATCATCCTTAACTCCAATTCTAGGGGATTCAGTGCCATCCTCTGATTTCTACAGGCATTGCATGACACAGGCACATTGACATATCGTTCCACAACAGCTATAAACAAGACTGTTTAGCCTAGCTATAAAACGAAACTCTGTTTGCATGGACAAACATGCAGGCAACATACTCATACACTAAATAAATAAATAAATAAATAAATAATACAGTTTTTAAGTGTTAGAGGAGACAGACTACACTTTCTAAACAAAAGTCAATGAAACTGAAAGTAAGCAAGTGGAAGTAAAGGGGAACTGTCCAAGCACTTGAGAAAGATTCCACTGGCTCCCAAATACCTATTTTGCTGAAACCACAACGAGACGACTGCACACCAAAGTGTACGTTCTGAAGCTGTCCTTTAAAGCAGAAGGAAACAAGACGTCTAAAACATGAAATCGAGCTTTTACTGGGGAGCTGAAAAGCAGTAGAATCGATTAACTCATGAGATGTGAAAATATAGGAATGGAAAGCTACTACCTACCCTCATCAAAGAGGGAACAAGAATGGGAGAATGGGGACTAGAGAGATGGCTCAGCAGTTAAGAGCACAAACACAAAAAGTATATATATACATACACACACACACACACACACACACACTTAGACCAGGCTAGCCTGCAATTCAGACTGGACCTTCAGACATCAGTTATAAATGAAGAAAATGCCCCCACAGATATCCCACAAGTCAGTCCAATGGAGGACATTTCTCAGTTGTGGTCCCCTCTTCCCAGGTATATCTAAGTTTGATCAAAGCTAACCAGCACAACATTGTGTGTCTACATTTTAAAATTTGGATGATATCGATAATTTTTCTAGAAAAGTTAATTTCTTATATCAAGAAATTAAAAGGGAAAAAATGACATGATTTTCAAGCAGCCTTTTGTGAAAAGGGGTCAGCCCTGATGCCTCACAAAAGTCAAACCATTGAGAAGCAGGTAAACAGGAATTACGGAAGCTGTTCTAAACTGAGAGCAAGAATGGATGCTGTTAGTAGTATTTATAAATCCAGAAAAGCATGCTAAGAAGACCCATCAGAGTTACACAAACACAAAACTGCAGAATTCATTTCATTTATGTCTTAACCAAGATACTAGTTAGTAGAGTCCTCCAGTACCCATGCATCATTATAAGCTCTGCATTGTCACATATGTCTAAGCCAGCACATAAATCAATGCAAAAGGAGTCAAGGTTAGAAACCAGCAAACAAACTCTCCAGTATTTGCAGATAAGATGTTTATATGCCAGAGAAAACTCAAGACAACAGACATAGAAAACTATTAGAAAACACACGAGACAGTGGTGATGTGATCCCAGTGTCAAGCCAAATATACAAAATGATGCTCTTTCATACTAAGAATAACCAGTTAGAAAATCAGTGAATAAACATTCCATGAATGATAACAACTTATATCTAATAACATATAAGGTATGTGCTGTATAAAGAAACCACAGAGTTCTAATGATGCCAATATTAACTTTTACAAGTTCTGCCTTAACTTTATGAAGTATAGAAAATGATTGTGATTTTTTGATCTGTAAGACTTGACTAGAATTAATTTATACATGAAATAGAAGTTAAAATTGGCTTTTCTTGGGAGCAAAATCCCTGGTTTGGCTTCATCAGATAGCCTGATGAGCTCAATGAATTTTGGAGGAGGAGGAGGAGGAAGAGGAGGAAGAAGAGGAGGGGGGGGGAGGAGGAGACAGAAACAGAGACAGAGTAGAAACTTCTTCCTTCCAAAGAGCAAATAGAGTGATTTTTAAGATTGAGCACAGGGCCAGTAAGATGGTTCGGCAGATAAAGGTGCTTGTCACCAACTGTGACACCCATGTTTAGTTACTGGAACCCACATGGTGGAAGAAGAGAATCTACTCTGGCAAGTTGCCCTCTGACCTCCACATACATGGCATGACACCCATCACCCTCCCACATAAATTATATATATATATATATATGCGAAACCACAGTAAGCACATCTGATATTCAGTTTAAAATCATTTGTTATGCTGTGTTGTTATGTAACTCTTTCCTGGAGCCTCCAGGTGTTTGATGATGATAGTGATGATGGTGATGGTGGTGGTGGCAGAGGTAGTAGTGGTGATGATAGTGGTGGCGATGGTGGTGGTGGTAGTGATGAAGGTGGTGGTGGTTGCAGTAGTGGTGGTGGTAGTGATGGTAGTGGTTATTATGGAGGTGGTAGTTTTGGTGATGTGGTGGTGGTGGTGGTGATGGAGAAGGTGGTAGTGATGAATATGGTAGTGGTGGTGGTCACAGTGGTGGTAGCTTTAGTGGTAATGGTGATGATAGTAATGGTGGTTCTAGCAGTATTGATGGTGGTGATGATGGAGATAGTAATGGTGGTGATGGTGGTGGTGGTGGTGGCAGTGATGATGATAGAGATTGGTGGTAGTGATAGAGAGTGATGATAACAGCACCGACTTTCCAAACAATGCAGTAAACACTTCACATTTAATTATCACAGAACTTCCATTGCCCTATCTACCCTTCCTGCAGATGAGGCATTAAGGCAGAGATCAGTAAGTAACTTCATCAGTGTACAGCTGCAGAGGGTGGAGTCTGATTGTTGGCCCAGATGTTCTGACTTCCAGGTTGACTTGTAACTCAACCTGGATGTTGCGCATCTATGGAATTCATAGCCTTTAGTTGGTGCCAAGGAAGAGATCAGATGACTTCCAGTAGGGTGGGGTCTTGTGGACAGATGTGCAGGAGCCAGAGTTAAACTGGAGATGAAAAATTCCATGAAACTAAAAACACAACAAAAAAATTCCATGGAATCAGAAATATAGAACTGACTCAGGGAAAAATAAACGCTCAACCTCTCCACTGCTGAGAAAACCCAGCAAGCCTGGGAAGCATGCTGGGATTTCTATCAGGTGTGACTTGGGATGTTGAGACAATTTTATTGCATCTTAAAATAAACAATGACTTCAGCTGGCTGGATAACTTAGATTTGTCCCAGAAGTTTAAATGTGACTTATCCTCATTAAAACGCCAACATTCCCTAAATGAATCTAAAGACAATGCAGGCACACTCAAATTCTAGTGGAATATCTTCAGCTTGTCCAAATTATTTTAAAATATATTTCATAGAATACAAATGTAGACGAATTTCCAGGAAAGAGAGAAAACAGAAATATCAAAGAGAACTAAACTTTGAAGACATGAGATTACTGGAATCAAACAGTCAGTGTCTAATGTTTGAGGAAACATTTGAAAAAAATGTAGATTCCTCTTTACACCTAATAACAAATAGAATTTCAAATAAAATAAAGAGATTTGGATATGAAAAATAATGCAACAGTCCTAGGAAATATGGGTGAATAATCTTGGTGACAAAGACCTTTCTAAGTGCTATGTTGTCCTAGTCTTACCTGCAACTAGCAAAAAATGACTAAAAGATTGAATATATTTCAAATTTCAGGATGGGGTAAGATGGCAGAATGGCCACTTGTAACAATCCCCAGCTCACCCCCAAATCTCATGACACATATGCTTTAGAATAATCATAAAGTGTAACGAACTTGAGTAACAATGCTAAAGGGCGCCATCATCAGACAAGAGTTTTTTAAGCACCTGTAAGAACCCAAGTGGATCAGATCAGTGTAGAGCTAGAGAGAAGTGCACAGAAAAGTCAAACCTTGCTCACGTGCAGGGGAGGCAGAGGTAGGAGGGTGCTAGGAGCCCAGGAGCCAGGGATGCACAAAAAAGAAGGGGCCCTGCAGCTCCTACAGGTGTGTACTTCACTGAGGATTTGCTTTCCAATGTTCATAGCCAAACAAATGAGGATATGAACGTGAGGTCCAGAATAACAAGGCAGTATACAGGTAGCTACTAACCCCAATGAAAGGAGGAGTAAAGATGGAGGATGAGACACCCATAGTTTCTTACTCCCTTTACAAAACCCCTCTAAAATTATTGTAAATGTATTTCTTTCTTAGTTGTCAGTCTCTAAGATCAAATGAGGGGAGGAGGCAACTGCAGCAGAGAACTGGATGCTAGGGAGAAGAGGAGCCCTTGATTGACACTAGGCAACTGAATCCCCAGGGCACCACAGGTAGGGCCAGGAGGCAGCCAGGTTTACATGGAGGTGCTACCATGGCCTCTTCAGGCACCTCTGGAAGGAAGAATGGAGGCTGTAAAGCACAGTAGGTGTTTAAAAGACAGATCATTTCCTAACTTTATCACCACCACCACAACTATGTTAGCTGAAATCTTGAGCCCCAGCCAGGGGCATGGAAGTGAGACCAAGCTCAATCAGAGAGTGTTATGTAAGTTGATTGTCAAAGTATGATGGATTGTCTCCAGAACTATGGGAGGCCAAACTACATCCTTCAGTCAGGAGATGGAGGATCCTTTCTAGGGATTGTGAGGGCCCAAAAGAAACGACCTCACTATCCTGCAAGAAGTCTATCGCTTTCAGAACTCACCCTCAGGCTCAGAACTTCCATTCCATTTTTTCATTTGAGAGATGGGTTACTATTATTCTTTGACAATTTCATATATTTTCTATTAGTTACTTGCTCACTGTTGTGATAAAATACCCTGACAAAAGCAATTTAAGGAAGAAAGACTTTATTTTGGCTCACAGTTCAAGGGTACACAGTCCATCACGGGGAAGAAGTCCTGAGGCAGCTAGCCAAGTTGTATCTGCATGCAATCAGGCAGCAGAGAACAACTGATGCTGGTGCTCAGCTTGCTCTCTCCTTTGCATATAGTCTAAGATCCGAGCTCAGGGAACATGAGGTCATCCACATTTAGGGGGGTGTTCCCACCTCAATTAACCTAATCTGGTTTTCCCACCTCAACTAACCTAATCTCACTGGTATTCCATGAAGTCTGTCTCCTAGGTGATTCTAGATTTTGTCAACATGCAAATAATGGATTCAGGTAATTTTCCTGTTCTTAGAACATTGGCCCAGCTGTCTGCTGTTCCAAGTGTTGAGCACAGCTCTTGTATTCCCATCCACTTCTGATTTGGAGTCCTGCCCATAGAGCCAAGAAGTGTTGGCCTGTCAGCCTGGGGAGGAAGCTCCACTGCTGGCTATAAACTGTTCTCCTTGGTGGTGGCAGCTGTGGGATTTACATGCTGAGATTTTACCTTGGCCTCTGCCCTGGAACTGGGGGATGATCCCGACCATGCCTTTGGCCATGCTCTGTGGGGAGTTTTCAGCTACCTCCTACACTACTGCTGAGCATCTTGCTGAACCCATCCATCCTCCGGGGAAAGGCTACATCAGGTGGCACTCAGACCAGCATGATATAATACAGCATGATGATTGTCCCAGAAGCCTTAGAACCAGGCACAACTCCATCCAAATCCCAGTATCATTCTCAACCACCAGTCCTTAGGCAACTCCCTTGAACTTTCATAAACTCTGAATGTTTGGAAAATAATAGAGCTTATTTATCAGAGTGGATAAGTATGAAATTTTCATACTTACTCTAAGCCCAGTACCTGGCCAATGTCAAGGCACAACAGATGTTTTCTTAAAATGATCAAAATCAAAATCTTAATGCATGCAATTAAACCAAACATACTAGTGTATGCAAGTGTGTGTGAACATGTGTGTGTGTGTGTGTGTGTGTGTGTGTGTGTGTGTGTGAGAGAGAGAGAGAGAACTCTCCAGTTGTTCATCTCTGCTGACTGATGATCCTAGGGAACTTCTACTGCGTTTATTGATTCCTTGTATCTACCTTCTTCTGTAAAGTGTCTGTTCAGGCATTGAACTATCTTTTTATTCCTGAAGTATAAAGAATTGTTTAGAAATCCTTGACAGAAATCCTTCAACAGAGATATTTATAGTGAATCTATTCTTTCAGAATACAGCTTACATTTTCATTTTCACTGAAATTTTTCAAAAAATTTTGAGGAAAATCCAGATGAGAGCTATGAACCTGTCATCTGGATATTGATTATGTTGGTCTGTTTGCTGTTGCCATTTTAAAAATACTCAAGACTGAACAGTTTATAAAGGTTGGAGTTTATTCAGCTCCTGGTTCTGGAGGCTGAATCTTCCTTATGATCTCACCTAACCCAAAGTGCCTCTCCCAGGACCCACCTCAGAACACTATCAGCAAACTAATTTGCTCACTAATCTCCCAACACCTGAACTCTTAGGAGATGCAATCACCCAACAGCATTGCATTATCTTTTTCTTTTTTCTAATTGCTTCCCAGGTATTAACTCATTCAAAAGTTATCATACTTTTTAGATCTGTGAGCATCTCAATTGCCTGTCATGCATACTTTCTTGGGTTGTACAAGTCACAAAAATGAGAACATCAAGCAAAAAAGAAGAAAGCACTGACTGTTGATCAGGGTCCAATACAAGAAAGGGACAAAGCAGGTTTCTAGGAGGCAGTTGGAGAACGGCCCCAGGACGACATGCATGTTTCAGGGATGGAAGATAAACAACCCACCCTGGTGTGGGTCAGAACTTCCAGAAGAAATTTCTTCAAGATAGAATTGATAAAATAGCCAATGGACCCATCCACAATGAAATCTTTATGCCATTAGCACAAAGTCTCAGTCTAACTAGCAAATGATCTCTTATAAAGAAGGAAAGAAAGAAGGAGGGGGGAAAGGGAAGCAAAAGAAAGAAAAGAAAAAAGTAAATAATAGGAGAAATAAGTCCCCCCAAATGACAGTAACTGTACGCTTAGTTGTGAATAACATCTAAGTGATTACAATAACAACAACACCATATAAGTAGATAACTAAAATTAATAATGTAATAATAATTAATAGTTCAAGTAAAGAGGAGCAGAAATGATGTGAGCATGCTTATTTGTGTAAGTGTTGTCTGTGAGTGGTAGGATTGTGAGTAGGGTGGGTAGAAATTGAGATTAAACCCTTGTATTTGATAATGTGATTTCTTTGATTGATTGACTGGTTGATTGATGCTTGAAATAGGAGGGTGGAGAATCCAGTTCTACATGATTCACCCACGTACCTGTGGGTTCTGCATCCATTGATTTAACCTCAGACTGAAAATATGTATAGAAAACCATATCCATTCCCAACATAATCAGACATTTATGTCATTATCCCCTAAGTGATACAATAGAATAATTATTTATTTAGAATCTACATGGTATTAGATATCATAAGTAGCCTACAGATGATTTATACAGGAGAATGTGCCTAGGTTACAATGACTTCAGAGTCTGTGGATTTTGGTGTTCATGGTGGGACCCAAAACAAATCCCTCATACATAAGAGGGATGGCTATAAAATCAAGTGGTGAAAGTCCCAGAACTATCCCAAGTAGTTGCAAGTGGCTGCCTCTTCCTGGGAAGAAGGATGAGGGTGGGACAATAGGCACTGCTCTGCTTATAACAAGACTTCTGGTCTTATTTGAGTCACTTCACTGTCATATGGATGTACTTTTTAGTAAAAGTTGAAACCAGAAGAGGATGACAAACACTGTGCCTAGTAACAGTGGCCTATAATCCCAGCTACTCACAAGGCAGAGGCAGGGGAACCATGCGTTCAAGACTTGACTGGACTACAGAGAAAATCCAAGGCTATCTTGGGAAACTTATAAGACCCTGCCTCAAAATTTAAAAACATAATTTTAAGGACTTGGGCTGTAGCTCAGTGGTAGAATACATGTGTATTGTGTGCCTAGGTTCAATTCCCAGTACTGAAAAAAAAGTTATGAACCTGTCATCTGCATATGACATAGCTGTTGCAATCATAAGCATGCAGCAACTGTGATCACCTGCGGAAGACGGGGTCCTTTAAGATCCCATCACAAATGGGGAAGGGACTTGTGAGGCCCCACCCCTCCCTGACGAGCTATCATTACCAGGGCGAGGTAGAGGTCTTTTCTTCAGTGCTGTAGTCCAGTAAATAACCCCTCACCCATGGTCCTGTAAGCAACCCTTCTGAAACTCAACAGATCATTAAAAACTAGACTGAAAACAAGAGGGACTAGTTGGGAAGTTCACTGGGAGTGGGAGGGGCATAAGTGAGGGTAAGGATGGTGAATATGATCATAGCACATGGTGAAAATGTGTGAAACTTTTGAAAAAAGAAGAAACCAGATTCCAAAGTGAAATGAGCTGCTCCCAGCACCTGCCATGCATACAATTTGCATCCAGCTAGTCTCATCTCATCATCAGAGGCAGTGCAGTCCACAGAAAGCACAGAAAGAGCATCAGCCAGCCAGTGGATCACAAATGCAAACTATAATAGTCAATCAAGCAAGCATGACATTTGGAGAAAACCCATGCTATGGAAGAGAAACCACAAATTCAATAACAAACACATGAGCAATAAATAAAAAGCCCAAACCTGAGTAAACTGACCTAAAAGAACAAACAGAAGACTTACTAAAACTGTAACTTACAGAGGATTAAGAGAAGGTGTCACATCTGTAAAACAAGAACACACTGTTGCAATAAGATGCTTGGGGACCTTGGGAGTTAAACCCTGATGGCCACAGGATCAGCTGTCCTTTTAATCTTAAAATTGAACTAGCAAAATGAAGGTTCAAGCTAAACCTCTCCTTTGTTATTCTAGAACTCAGTTGAAAAGGACAAAAAGATGGTTCGAGAAAGGAAAGTCCTAGGGATAGATTCCGGGTCTCAGCTTCATTCTAATTAGAGATCAAAAAAAGAGCAGAGAAAGAAACCAGAGGCGGGAAATAATTCTTTAAATTTCATTGATTTTCAGATTGAAAGAGTCCTTTGAATCCTGATCATGAATTTTTTGAAGTTACTAAGACTTAAAAGAAAACCACTTGAATTCTCAGCTTAGCCCTATACTTACTCTGTTTCCATGTGTCAGTTAATATTGTACTAGCATTTTCTGCAAGTCTTACCCAGTTCCCCTCCCCTGCCCATCCCATCATTCTCTCCTGTCTTGTCCCTGCCTTCCTGTGTGGAACCCTGGATGGCTATCATTTGCCACTTGTGGCTTTGCCTCTCCAGTTACCACTGCAAAAAGAACAGACACAAGGCCACCTACAGTCATTCTAGTCTGTGTGAAGCATGGTCATACATCACTCTGAGGGGGCTGTGTGACAGACAAGGAGCTCTCACTCTGATGCACCTGTCTCATGACTTGGTAGGATCAATATTAAGAGTTCACATGGGCAATGTGGGCACACATGTATGTGTGAAAAGCAGGGTGGGATGGGCTGTGTCTATAAATTAATTTCTAAATTTAATCGGTATATGCAACAGCTAATAGAGAGGCCAAACCATGCTTCTGTGCTTCTTACAGGAAGATACATATTTATTCTGCAGGCAGCAGAGAGGTCACAGAAATATTCTATTTAGCAATCATGGTATTTTTATTGTGTGTGTGTGTGTGTGTGTGTGTACGTTTGCGTATGTGTACAATGTGGGGTGTGTGTGTATGTGTGTGTATATCCTTGGAACTTAGATGGTAGAAGGAGCCATCTGGCTCCCCACAAATTGTTCTCTGGCTTCCACATGCATGCTGCCAAAGACACAGACACACACACATACACGCACGCACGCACACACACACACGCACACACACACACACACACACACACACACACACTATAAATGTAATAATTTTAAAAACTGAAATTGGGGCTGGAGAGATGGCTCAGAGGTTAAGAGCACTGACTACTCTTGCAGAGGACCCAGGTTCGATTCCCAGCACCCACGTGGCAACTACAAACTGTCCTTAACTCTGGTTCCAGGGGAATCCAAAGCCCTCTTCTGACCTCCACGGCATTGCACAACATGGGTGCACTCACCTACATGCAGGCAATACACTCATACACATAAAATAAGAATAATAAAATATTTTTTTTAAAAATGAAATCAGTCAAAAAAAATTTTAAAGGTCAGGGCCATTAAATATATTCAGTTTATGAATCTGTAGTTTATTTCATTGTTCATCCTACACTTGTTTCTCAAGAGCACCTTGGGTAAGAATAGATAACTGCTATGCCCAGATCTCATGACTGCCAATGACCACCAAGGAGTCCAGAGTGTATGCAACATCAAAGAGCCTTTATTCGGGCTTAAGCTCTGGCCCTCAGATTTTACCGAGGCAGCGGATCCATACTGAGAGCCCAGAACCAGGGTGGGGCAAGCTTTTTATAGGGAGTTTTGCTGAAGCCCGCGTGTGCCAGATGCACTTTAAAATGATTGGATGGTCCTATGTTCTGAGTACGGGGAGGATTCTTATTGGTAGGGGCTGTCTTTAGGGCACTGGAATGTGCTGACTGTTATCTGTAGGGCCAGAAGTTTCGGTTTTTACCTTATAAGGCTTTTACATGCCCGGGCTTGCTTAATCTATAGCTTCTTTGGGGCGGGGGGGCTAGCAACTGGAGATTTACAACAAGCCTGGGCTTGCCCGGGCTTGCCTGAAACAGCAAGCCAAAATGGAGTCAGTGTATTCTGACTCTTGCATTTTGACTCTTCATTCCCCCCTGTAGTTATGGCAGGGGTTAAACCTTTAAGCCAAGCAAATTACAGAACCAGAAAGAAGCGGTTAGACAAGTCAGAGTCCCACATAACCTGATAATTAAAATAAAAATGTGGGAGAAGTTATTAATTAGTACTTTGTATGGTCTTAGCTCCTTATAAAATATCTCACAGAGATGACTGTTCTGCTGAAAAGAATGTGCTGTGTACACAGACCAGGATTTGTTTTCAAATTTTAACTCTTCTAAAAGTTAGGTGTAACTCCCCAAACACCAAAGCACTAGCATCATGAAAGAATTTGGACTCTATGGCCCCTTCTCACCACTTGCAAATGGAGCATCACTTATGGTCCAAGGACCCAGGCTCTGATGTGCTGTTGAGCAGAATTCCAAAGGAAACTCCTGGTCATGACCTTTCATTTTCTTGCGGGTTGATGACCAGGAGGCGTTAAGGGTCCCCATGTATTCACAGATGAAGTCATGCCACTTTGATTTGTTGGTGCTTCTATTAGACTGGGTTGGATCCAGCACCACCTTGGAAGGAGGGACCTAAAGAAAAAAGCCATGATGGGAACATTTTTGTTTTTCACTGCATGAGAGGAAAGAAATTAGGCGTGAATCGGGTTCTAAGATATGAGTAGATGACGCAAATTCCATGACTATCTCTATACATTCATAATCCTCCATTAGCCATCTATCACTCATTTATGTCCATCATCTGCCCATCTTTCTACTTATCTTCTATTTTTGTCTATCATTTGTTTACCATCTATCACCTATCATCTACCTATTAATATCTATTACATGTCATCCATCTACCCATCCATCATCATCTATTTATATCTGTCTTCCATCTATTTATAGCTACCATCTATCACCTATATTTATTAATATCTATTATCTATAATAGATATTAATAAATATATATCTATATATAGAGATCTAAATATCCTTTATTCATCCATTCATCTGTCTGTCTATCTACCATCTATCTATCTATCTATATCAGTCATCTATCTAAGTGGTTGGATTTCTCATCAGCCACTCTCTCTGATCACTTCTCTTGCTGTCTTGTCTCCCCTCTCTCCTCCTTGGTCTGAATGCATGAGTGGCTAGATACTCTTCCCTAGAGCCATACAATTACCGCAGGTCCCTGATGTCTTCTCCAAAGTTTCTGACTGGAGATGGCAAAGTCTTGCTTTTTGCATCTTAGAAAATTGGGTCCTCCCCACCTTTCCAGTTTCACTGGTCAATCACCTGGTGATAGAACCACCCCTAGGAAGGCGGGTTCACCTTAAGTTATGCTAAATAGATGGGCAGAATACCTGGTGTGTTAATGAGGTAGTGAATTTTTCCTGCCTGGAATCCCACCTTGTAATGCATAACTCCACAGAACTTCTGACCAGCCACAGTCATGTAGGTCTCAATAAGTCTGTCCACTCTCTGCCGTTTGGGTCCATTCTTCAATCCTTTTATGAATGAGACTAAGAACCTTCTAGAGGACCTTCTTTCCTCCCATTTCAGTACAGGTCAAAACTAGGACATATGGTATCTTACCTTAAAGAGACAAAATGACCTACAGTAACAGTATGTGAAAGTGCTTTGCAGACAATGATAGACTGGCAGCACCCTTTGAAATAGTCTGGAAAAAAATTCATTTTGTACCCTTTGTATATGCAGAATGTAGCATTATCAGAAACCCTCAAAAGTAATAAAATAAAATAAAAAGTCCCCCCCCCAAATAGAAATGAAGTATTTCTTCAAATTCAGCCAGGTTATGTCATTATCTTAACCGTTTCATAAGTTACCAAGGAGGAAGGGACTGTGGAAAGTTCAGCCACTAGAGGTGAGGCTTCTGATTGTCAGGGTAGCATCTCATCCGCTGATTTGGTGTCTGCATTATACAAGATAAAAAGTATAATTAAAGTCCCTGATAGTTTTCTTTATTCCCTTAGCTGTACCATTTTCTCCCACCAGGCTACTCTGCTCCTGTACTCCGGAGTTACCTTGTAAATCCTCACCTCCACCCACATTCTTTGCCCTGTTTTCCATGTTCCAGCCTCACTGGTGTATTCCTGGTGCTACCGCAGACACACATATACCTGTGTGCGTGTGGATCCACCAATTTGGAGCATCCTCTATGGTCCTGATGCTTCTCCCAACCTGTGATTCAGAACATTGTACTCTGGTTAGAACTGCTAGCCCTGGGAATTGGGGCTTCTTAAAGCCAGTGACTATTTCAAATCTTCAGTGCTGCCACATACAAAGTTTGATGAATTATGTAACTTTTTCTGATTTCAGGTGGTCTGTTCTCAACAAATTCAGGAAGTATTTTTACCTTGCCATTGCTAATTTCTCTCAATCTCTCTAATTTCTTGTCATCAAAGGCAGGAAAAGAATATCAGCTTACTATCATCCGCCTCTCTTTGGATTTTTGTTGTTACTGTATTTCATTTTTGATTGGATAATGTCATTCATGTAGTAATATGCCAGTTATTAGAGCATATGAAACTGGGTTGAAAGATGTTTAATTATATGTTCAACTTGAGTCTATTTTCATTTTTATAGCTGTTACTGATCTCTGATTTAGAATTTCTGTTGGAATTCTAATGGGTTCAGGTTTTTAAAAAGTAATACATAGCATCACAAAACTTAAGGTTCCTGGGATATTTGCAATTACCTCCTTCATGATCTTCCTTTAAGACAAAATTGGTAAGGAGTGAGATGAAGACTTGTCAGAAGTTACATAGCGACAGAACTGAACCTAGACTTCACAGTGGTATTTCCAGGTTTTCTTAATCTCTCAAATAACTAGTTTTAGGGTGTGTTGATTTCCTATTTTTTAAAAAATATTTTATTTATTATTTTAAGCATATGGCCTGCATGCATGTAAGTGCACCTGTGTCGTGCAATGCCCACGAAGGTCAGAAGACTGCATCAGATTCCCCTGGAGTTAGCATGGATGTTAGCTGCCGTGTGAGTGCTAGGAATTGAACTCAGGTCCTCTGCAAGAACTAGTGCTCTTAACTGTTGAGCCATCTCTCCAACCCCTGATTTCCTACTTTTAATTTCACTGATTTCTGCTTTCATGTTTATTATTTATTTTTCTCTGAATACTTTGGATTTAACTCTCTAATTATCTAAAGTAGACTCTGAGATTATTGATTTTATATTTTTCTTCTTTTCTAAAAATAGACTCAACACTTCAAACTTTCCTGTAAGTACCAGTTCTGTTGCCTCCCACAAGCCTTGGTGAGTTGTATTTCATTTTCATTTACTTCAAAATGCTCTAAATTTCTCTCGAGATCTCTCTTTTGCCTTATGTGCTATACAGAAATGGGTTGTTCAGTGTCAAAACATTATGGAATTTTCTAGCTATCCACCGTTGATTTCTAGTTCAACTCCACTGTGGTCTGAGAGCTGACATGGCATGAATTCTGTTCTTTTGAAATCTGTTAATGGTCCAAAATTTGGTCTGTCTCACCATGTATTCCTTATGAGATTGAAAAAAACATGCAATCTGCTGTTGTCTGGGATATATTAAATTGATGGGTGATGTTGTGAGTTGAGCTGCGTCCTTAGTAATCCTCTGCCTGCTGGATCTATCTTTAATAAAGGGACGCTAAGTCTCCACCTATAACAGTGGATCAGTCTGCCCCTCAGTGCAGCTCCGTCAATTTGCTGCTTGTTTTTGCAGCTGGCTACATGCACGTTATGGACTGCTCTGTCTTCCTGGGGTATTTCTATTTATCCATAATCATGTTCTTTGTCCTGAAGCTGGTTCCTTCTGAAATAAGCAAGCTGCTTCTGCTTTATGTAAATTAGTGTCCATATGTTTAATTTTCTCCATCCCTTTAGTTCATTAATCCATGTATATCTTCGGGGTTTCTTATAGACACAATTTCATTGAGCTTTGGGGGTTTTGTTTTGGTTTTGGTTTGGGAGATTTTTGTTTTGTTTTTCGAGACAGGGTCTCCCTGTAGCCCCCCCCCCCCCCCCCCCCCCCCTGTAGACCAGGTTGGCCTCAAACTCACAGAGATTCATCTGCCTCTGCCTCCCAAGTGCTGGAATTAAAGGCGTGTGCCACCATGCCTGGCATGAGTGTTTCTTAAATGAGAAAAATCTGTTAGAGATAGGTTTTGTGGAATGCTTCAGAATGGCAGATAAGGCACAGTAGTTCCCTGGTATGGAGCTGGCAGTCCTGTCTGGAAAGCTGCATTAGTTACTTTTCTGTTGTTGTGATAAGATACCGTGACAAAGCCAGTGGTAGTGCACGCCTTTAATTGCAGCACTGGGGAGGCAGAGGTAGGTGGATCTCTGAGATGGAGGCCAGCCTGGTCTACACAGTGAGTATCAGGCTGCTTGATCTCACATATAGTTTCTTGCCTCTGCCTCCCCAACTGGGATTAAATGCATGCGCTACCATGCCCAGGGAGTTTGTTTTTTGATCCATGTTGGCAAGCCCTGGTGTGTGTGTGTGTGTGTGTGTACATGAATATAGAGGTCCAAGGACAACCTCAGGTATTGCTCCTCAGAAGCCATCCACCTTGTTTTTGAGACAGGGTCCCTGACCGCTTGACTTGGATCTTTCCAAGGCTAGACTAGCTGACCAGCAGGCCCTCGGGACCACCCTGTTTCTGCTTCCCCAGCCCTGGGATTACAGACTTTGTCACCACGCCTGGCTTTTTTTTAATGGATTCTGGGATTGAAATCGGGTTCTCATGCTTCAAGGCAAGCACTTTACCAACTGAGCCATCTTCCCAGGCCCAATTTTTGTCTTTTAATTGCTGTGTTTAGATGACTTATGTTTAAAATGATCGTTAGTGTAGCTGAATTAACACGTACTGTTTGATAGTGTTTCTGCTTACTTCCCTTTCTTTTTTTCATATTTTCCTTCCACACTTTTCCTGCTGTTACAATTGAACTTTTTATCTGACTCCATTTTCTCCCTTTTGAACATATAAATCATTTTTTCCCTTTTTTCATTCTTTTATTTTTTTGTCTTATTTTTTTTTTGAATAGTTGCCTTGGATTTTGCACTATGTATTGTTAAGTAATCTAGGTCCACTATCAAATAACACCTCCACTTCATGAGTATTTCCAGTAACTTATACGCATATATAAAATATACGTATCTAATACATGGGGCTGGAGAGATGGCTCAGTGGTTAAGAACACTGGCTACTCTTGCAGAGGACCTGTGTTCGGTTCCCAGCACCCACATGGTAGTTAACAACCACCAAACCATCTGTAATTCCAATTCCAGGGGGTCCGACACCCTCTTTTGAGCTCCTTGGACATTGCACAACACTGGTACACTTACATACATGGAGGCAATACACACACACATAAAATAAAATATTAAAATAAAAATTATATATATAATACAAGCATATAGTATCAAATTTTTTATTGATATCATTTTGAGCAATCTGTTATGTCATTTCGGGATAAGAAAAATGAAAGGTTTTCTTTTACCTTCACTTAATCAGTTTCCTAGTGCTCTTTTTTCCCTTCTATAGATCTGACCCCGTTTTCTCTGGTCTGAGGAAGTCATTCTTTCTCTTGTACATTTTATGTTTTTAAAATCTTTCCGAGGCAGGGTCTCTAACACGAGCTGACCTTGAAGCTTCCTCGTTAAGTAGCTGAGGAAGATCTGTTCCTCCTGCCTGCACCTCCCCAGTGCGTCAGCTGTAGGTGTGGATCAACCAGGCCTACAAGCAGTGCTAGGGATCGAACCCAGGGCCTCACACATGCTAGGCAAGTACTCTGCCAATTGAGCTCCATCCCCAGCCCCTCTCCTGCATTTTCGGTGGCTAACATGACAGGATCTAGAATTCTGGGTGCTGGGCTGGGCTTTCTCTCAACAGTCCCCACCACAGCTGAGGTTTGCTTAGTTTTTACATTGCTCCCACAGAGGGGGCTGCCTGGGAATTTCTGTCCAGGACGTCTGTCTAGATCTGCCTATTGCCTGTGTCTCCAGCTTAGACATAGCTGTGTCCTCATCCTCTGAGGCATCTAAGAAATGCTGCTGCTTTTCACATTTGTTCAGCTTTTTACTTGTTAGGAAAGTGATTTCTTCTAAGCTCCTTACAAGCTGCCTCACTGCATTCGAAGTAACACCTTCCTTTACTTCGTTTAATCTTAATTACAATGGATTGAGCCTATGCAAATAAAAGAATACAGGGACTCTCCCATTTATCCCATCGTGTCAGTTCTCGCCTTGTTACTGGGCTCAGAGTTTCCTTGCCATGTGGGCTACTGAAAGCTCGTAAAGTAACAGAAATAAATATTGCTCCACCGAACTAGCTGGATTCAGGCTGCCTTCATAGATCAAGTTGTAACATCCATTTAAACTGCACAAAATCAGCAACAAGGATATAATTTAAATCATAGCAAACCTCAAGCTGAAGTTCAAAGGAGAGTGACTACTCACGCCTTCCTCTCCACACCCATCCTTGGCTCACCCAGAGAGAATCCTGTGCTTGTCACCTGAGCGCTGGAAAAGCAGGGGAGGCCCACACAGAGAGATGCTTAGGAACCTGGCATGGTGGGAGAAAGGAACTGGTGAACTAGATTCTGAATTCAAATGCCGGCTGCAGTTTTAGAAGCTCAAGTAAGGTTTGGAATTCCTTTTGAATTACACTTTCGGCCACCAGACTCTGGATCCTTGAATACACTGTTGCGCCGTCATTTAACCACGTGGTCTTGGGGTTTAGAAGAGTTACAGGCACAACTCAGCTCCCCACAGGGCTGCCTTGAAGGGCTTATCTGCCTAAGCCTGCCTCTTGTATTCTGGGCCTACATTTTCTTAAATGCAGGTAATTACTACAAGGATGAAACAGAAAGTAGAAAATGACATGAAGTCTATAAAATAGTTTCAGGGAAGAAATATATTCTGGCTTGGCACAAATAAAAGGAATTTTTGTTGTTGTTGCCAGAAGAAAGTCAGGGCTCATATTCAGGACTGTGAAAACCTCAAAGCTTTGCCTAGAGGAATTTCCTCCTGAGGGAGGATTCTGAAAATTCTTCACTTTGATCTGCCTTGCTTGATCCATGGAAAGCAATATCGGCAATATCTCAGGGTTCAGCAGAGCGCCCCATTAAACTGCCATCACCATGAAATGATCGCATCTGCTTAACAGAGGCATGTTCAAAGTAAGATAGGCTTCAAGCGAGGGCATCTTGTATGTCCTAGAGACCCTCATGCTGTGGACAGTCACTCTTAATGAACACAAAATCTACCAGTCTCCAGGACTCCACACTGGTAGGAGTGTAAGCTAAGGCTCTCATACCAGGCTATGCAGGACCCTGAGTACCAGGTGGGTTTTCAATGAATATGTCGCGAATAGCTGAGAATAAAGAAGTTAGTCACTTGGAACTGAGGACACTTTCTGTCCCCCAGATAATACAGAGTCTCCAAATGGTCCACAGACACCTAGTTCATTACGCACTGTGCCATGGAAAGTCAAGGTGGCTAGTGAATGGGCTGGAGAGATGGCTCAGCAGTTAAGAGCACTGGCTGCTCTTGCAGAGAACCTGGGTTCGGTTGCCCACATGGTGGCTAACAACCATCTTTAACTCCAGTTCCAGGGTATCCAGTGCCCTCTTCTGACTTCTCTGGGCATTGCAGAACACAGGCCACTTACGTACATGCATGTAACACATTCATACACATCAAATAAAATCAATCAATAATTTTTTTTAAATATGGCTAGTGGACTCTACTTTTGTGACAAATGGATGTTCTAGAAGCAGGGCACTCATTGTAGCTCTAATAAAAGAAAATAAAACAAATGACATTGTTTGTTGGACATACTGTATGGAACAGGCATATCCTCTGGTGCCGTACCAAAGTCATCTTCTTTATCATTAATGTGATGGCTAATCCTGGGTGTCAACCTGACTGGATCTGAGATTAACTGAAATGAGAGAGACCTTGATTGGATCATCTGAAGCTGGAAGACACTCCCTAAATGTGGGTGTTACCTTCTGATGGCAGCCCGTATAAAAGGCCACGGCTGAAAAGAGCACTTGCTTGCCTTCTCTCTGTCTTGCTGCTGTAGACTGAAGACTAGCTGATCTTTCGGAATTCATCAGACCTTCAGCACCATATTGGGACTACTGAGACATCCAGCCTCGTGGACTGAGCAAGTACAGCTTCTCAACCTCTCCAGTGTGGTGCAGCCTTTGTTGGACTACTCGGACTCTGTCCTGTGAGCTACTCTGATAGATCCCTGTATTCATTCTACTGGTTCTGTTCCTTTAGAGAACCCTGACTAATACAATTAATTAGTGTTGACTCGACAGAGATCCATGTGGCAGACATTAGACATTTTTCACTTAGACTTCCTTTCTAAGATCATTTTATGTGTGCTTGTGTGTGTGTACATGCACAATGATCTATGTGCAAGTGTGTGTGCTTATGCATGCACATGGAGGCCAGAAGAAGGCATGACTTATCACTCCACACCTATTTCTTTGGGGCAGGATCTCTCTGAACCTGAGGCTTGCATTTTCCATCAAGGCTGGAAGTCAGCAAACCCCACCCAACCTCTTGTCCCTGCTCCCCTCAGAGCTAGGGCTACAGGCATGCATGGGACACTCAGCTTGATGTGCAGATGCCGGAATCCACACCCCATTCTCCTGTTTGTGCAGCAAGTGCCCGTAACTGCTAAACCATTTTTTGAGCATATATTTTAGACTACTTAACCTATTTTACACACAAGAAAACCAAGTCCTAGAAATTAGTTATTTACTCTTATTTTTCATGTTTTAATCATGTTTTCTGATACCCAAAAGAGTTATTTCTTTAAACAAATGTACTCCATTGAGGCCCAATACCTAAAGACATGCCATAGTATGAGGCTTGACAACTCAAGGGGTACAACCTGGTGAACAGCAAGCCAGCAGGGCTAGGAGGGTATACAGGTTTGAATCCTAGGTCTCCACTTATTGCTGAAGGACCCCAGCAAACTACAGAGTTCTCTGAGCCCCACTGTCCTCACCTGCCGTAAGCAGGGATGTAGGAGACACCTCCTGAGGCTCTAATGAGGATGAAATGGACCTGCACTGAATTCCCAGGCTGTGCCAGATGCTCGGCAGCTGTAGTAACTCAGGCCTGTTCCATGCTCCTTCAGTCTCTGGGCTGAAAGCCAGCGGGGCTACTGTGGACTCCTGACCACCATCAGACTTTGCCACATATCTGAATTTCTAGAGAGATCTAATGTATAATCTATCATCTCAATGGGAGAAGTCTATGGTGCCTAGAATAACAGAAGTGGTGAAAATACAGTCTATGGTATCTTTGATTGCAAGTACCTTAAGTCCTCGTTGTACCCTCTAGAAACCTCTAGAACTCTAGAAGAAATGATTTGGGCCTTGAAGCAAAACTTACAGGAGAGGGACGGACTCCTTGAGCTTTTCTAATAGAAAGTCTACAAAAAAGATGCCGGGGACAGAGGCCCAGGCATGAGTCTGTCGTAGAGCCAGCACTCCAAGCTAACGTCCCTCAAAGACGTATTTTCCGTGGATCAGGAGAATGCTCAGAAGATATTGCTCCCTCCCCCTTTCTCTTTCATGTTATGAGTGGGAGACAGATAAATCTTACCTTTGAAATGAAAACTTGTTTTGAAAAGGGATTGGGAGCAGTCAGGGAAAGGAAGTAAATAGTCAAGAGAAATGAGTAGTTTCCTCCAAATGTATCCGGTGCAGGGGCAAAAACACAGCAGAAGAGTCAAAGCAACACTGTTTTCAAAAATAAGGTTCACAAGCACGCGGACATATGTGTCTTAAGACCAGACAGATGTAAAGAATTGCAACACATAATTTACAAAGAATAAAATGTGATCATCTTCATTTTAAATTCCATACGCCTATATGAACTCTTGACTTCCTAGTTCTTCAAAATCCATTATCAAAGAGACTCCATTGTGTCATAAAATCAGACCACAACCCAATACTTGACTGCTGTCCTACTCACCAAAGGCAGTCACATTTCAGACAAATGCATTCAATCTCAACAAATGTGCAACCTGTGAAGGTTGGTTGGTATTTTCATCAGACAAGAATGGAACAAGGAAGGTGTCTGTTGGAAATCCATTCACTTGTCTAAAGCAATTTCTCTGTTGAGCCTGTTCTAATACTAGAAGTTGATTCCTTCAGTTGTCTGTGCAGCTCACAGTTCGCCTCCTCTGTGTAATGTTCCTAAGTTCAACTGTTACTAGAGTTTCTCTACCACTTTGTTGAGACAATAAACCAAATCAAACAACCACTGACCCTAAATCCTATAACATAAATACATCTATTTTGGCCAGTTTAAAACTTCTGCTACAAGTTTCATGTGGTGATATCTTGGTCCCCGGCATCCTCAGGAGGTGAGGTGATTAGGTTGTTGAGGGCACCACCATTGGAAGGGACCCCTGGTGTTAAGCGTTTAGTCATGGGTTCATAGTCATGGGTTCATGTGTTTCAAGTCTTGGTCCTTGGCTGGTGATGCTGTCTGTAGACCCTTTGGAACATAGCCAGTGCACAGAGCTCATTGGAGGTAGGATTTGGAAGATGATACCTGCTTCCAGTTCTGGCTCAGGCTCTCTTTGCTTCCTGGTTGGTTCCATATTAGATATTCCCAATGCCATGGATGAGTCCTCTGCCAGCTCTTCCTGTCACCTCAGACTTTATTGCTCAAGCTGTAGCTGAAATCACCTCTCCTCCCTTAAGCTGCTTCTGTTGGGTATTTTTTTCACAGTCGTAGGAAAAGTTACTAGTACACCCAGTACACCTTCCCATGAAGCATGGTTGTTACACAAAGTGAGCCTGGTCCCCTGGTCTCTCTTGCTCCCTCTCACCATTATGAGCTCTTCTGGCATGCATCCCTGCCACAATGCTGTGCTCCATGTTGTGACGTGGGCAAAATGCCCTCGCCAGGGCTGAGCAGATGCCAGGAATATGCTTTTGTATTTCCAAAACTGTGAGCTAAATAAACCTCCTGTTTAAAACCAAACACTGAGCCTCAGGTGTTTTGTGTAACAGAAAATGGATTAAGGCATCTGCCCAGGTAACAGCACTAAGCGCAGAAATAAATTGAGATGCACAGTACCAACGTGTGTTTATTTCCATTACATGCCACAAAAGATGCAAATATCCTTGAGGACATTGATAACAAAATGTAAAACGGCTGGGAAGTATCAAGTTTTGAGCACTGATTGCCTTTGACTTTAAAGCATGATTTGATGGCATCTGTATCTTCATTTTTAACATGGCTTTGTTCAACCAGCCTACAAAATCCTTGCAATTTCATCAAATGCCATGTCACACAGAGACTTCCACAGATACCGTCTGAGGAGATGAGGAACAGGGGACAGGAGGCCTTAGTGAAAAGCACAGGGACTAGGCCCTGGTTCCTGAAGGCTAGCCTGTGGTAAAACCCGAGGGCAGGAGCAAACAGGAAGCTGAGCTTGAGCTTGTGAAAGCTCACTTGAACCGGACGAGGAGAAAGCAAACTCCAAGCACCTCTTGCCCCCTGGTGATTGCAGCATGGAGAGGCGT